ATAAGGCTCCGACCAAAACGGTACAAAAACAAGAGGCAGCAGCAACCTACTAACTCCCTTTTCAGACCACAGATGAGGCAAAAAGGAACGAAGAAGGGTGTTCTGGAGTTGTCTGAAGATATGAGAGACAATGACTATTCACTCCTCAATAACTCCCATTCCTGGGCTAGAGTCCGAGCATCTTTGTCCTTCCATAAGAAGAAGAAAGTTACCACGGAGGAGAGTGCCTGCAGCAGCATCCTTTGTACCTCTTCTGTGAAATCCCAGCACCAAGCAGCCCTGTCTGCTGCTGAGGCCCAGTGCTCAGCCTGGTCTGCTTCCCCCATGGCCCTGCTGGCTCCCAGGAGTTCCTGCTCTGTCCTGGAGCTGATGCTTACAGATGCAGAGAAGGTGTTTGGGGAATGCCACCAGGAGGGCCCTATCACTTTTGAGAAATGCATTCCTTTAGATAAGATGAAAGACTGCAAGAAAATTGGAGAAGGAGTGTTTGGAGAGGTTTTCCAGATCGACAGTGAGAGAGGACCTGTGGCCTTAAAAATAATTCCCATTGAGGGGACCAAGAGAGTAAATGGGGAAGCTCAAAAGAGCTTTGGAGAGATTCTGCCCGAGATAATAATTTCAAAAGAACTCAGTCTTCTGTGCGAAGGGTCTGTGAACAGGACCGTTGGGTTCATCACCTTATACTCTGTGCACTGTGTTCAGGGGGCCTATCCCCAGCATCTCCTGGAAGCCTGGGACAAATACCACGAAGCAACGGGATCGGAGAATGATCGGCCAGACCTTTTTGGGGACGAGCAGCTCTTCATGATTCTGGAGTTTGAATTTGGAGGCAGTGACTTGGAGAATATGAGAAAGAGGTTAAGTTCAGTGGCATCCGCAAAGAGCATTTTGCACCAGGTCACTGCTTCCCTGGCCGTGGCAGAACAAGAACTGCGCTTTGAGCACAGAGACCTGCACTGGGGGAATGTACTGATAAAGAAAACGGACATAAAGAAGCTTAATTACGTGTTGAATGGGGCAACATGCACAGTCCCCACAGGAGGACTTCATGTCAACATCATAGATTATACTTTGTCCCGGCTGGAGAAGGACGGGCTAACTGTGTTTTGTGACCTTTCCACTGATGAAGAGCTGTTCCAAGGCACGGGGGACTACCAGTTCGATATCTACCGGGAAATGAAAGCGCAGAACGCCAACAGCTGGACTGACTATCATCCGCACAGCAACGTCCTCTGGCTGCACTACCTATCAGATAAACTTCTGAATGACATGTGCTACAAGAAGAAGGAATCGACTTCTTCCATGAGGAAAGTAAAGCAGGAGCTCATTAAGTTCCACCAAGAAGTCCTGACCTTTGAGTCTGCCAATGAAGTTTTAAAAAACAGCAGCCTCTTCCAGTAAGCAAGGGAGTGTAATATTGCCAAGAACTAAGTCACCGACACTGCCTTCCTCCTGTGCTGGATTTTTATAAGTAGTCTTTTTAAATGTTGGCACAACAAAGTGTCATGATCGGCTACTGATGTGTATAATATGCTGTCAAAAATGTCTAAAAAAACTTGGAAAAAAATTCTTCTGCTTTAAGGTTTTCCATATGTACCTTTTTCTTTGAGGGGTGGTGGTTCAAGAGAACAGAGTTGCTGTTCGAGAAGGGGGAAAAGAGATTTCCTCAGGTTCAGTTAATGTTTTGAATTCCACCAGAATTTTCTTACTTTTTAGTCTTAGATTATTAAAGGTTCTTTCCTTACTATGTTGTCATTCTTACAAGTTCTTTTTTTTCAAAGTGAAAAACCCTACAGTTCTGGACAGTGAAGACAAAGGTGAATATTGTTAGCCCATTTGGGGACAGAGAGAGGAAAACCCACCTTTTGACTTGGTTCTAAACTGACTTGTGTTCAGTTTGGCAAAATTTATACCCGGAAGGACGCTACAAAATGTAAATATGTGAAGTTTCTATAGCATATGTTTTAAAAACTCTAATCTGTAATAATGCAGTGGGTTTTTTCTCTCTCTTAAGTTCTAGTGAAGAGGTAATTGATTATGAAAATAATAAGAAAAAGTACCTGTGTTCCTGATGCATTTTTGACTGTGATTATGGTGTGACCATCTATACTGATAGGAACCCAAATCTGTAAATTGATGGTAGCATTAAAGCGATTTTCTCCATTTACCTACAGAAGAAAATGCATAAGGAAATAAGTGTTCTTTAGTCCCCAAAACAGACAGGTCAGGTGACCTAAATTTGAAGCTGTACTTACGCTGAATCTGAATTCTTTGTTTTCAGTAAGTCCTTTGCTAACATTCATGTACATTAAAGAAACTGGTCTAAAGAGAAGAATAAATCATAGTGAAAAGTAAATTAGAGTATTATTAAAGATTAGTACATCAAATGACCCAGATGCATTAAGTAATTAAGGGGTAGCCTCATCAGATTTGTTACAGTGGGAATGCTGTCTGTCTGTATGTGTTCGTACATGCAGTTTGTCCAAATTACGTGCATCCTGGAACTTCTCTTGAAGTTGACTTTTTACAAGCTAAGCAGTTGGAGACCCCCAGGTACCACCCTGCCCACAGCACGTTGGGTTTAGTGTTCTGTCTTTCGGACTGTTTGCGTTTGCTGTCCAGTACCACAGAAAGTGATGTGACAATCTGCAGAGCTTGAAATTATTAAGATGGAAATTGCATTGGAATCTTGCCAGGCATCCTCTCAATCTTTTTGTTTTCCCCTCTGATTGACTAAAGCAGCACAATATAATTGAATATTCTTAAAACTTACGTGGTAAGGACTGCAGCGACTGCGTATCTGACATCAAGGACATGTTCCTCGGTCAGAACGGTGCTATTTTCATTTAGGCTTTAGGAAAAAAAAAAAAAGTATGGATGAAACAACATCATTATCTTTCTGCCTTGGTCCTCTATTTTTATGGGTTGAGAACTGGTAATATTGGCTGTGCAAGAGGGATGGAAACAGAGTGGCAGTAATTTCTGAAAGGAGAGGTGCCAGCCTGCCTGGTGACAAGGTACAAGTGTTGGAGTAGCCCTTTATTATGCAGGTTTTGAAAGCAGCCATCACCTTGATATGTTTTCCCCGCAAACCAATGCGGATTTGTGAATATTGCTGGCATTTAATCAATATTTAAAGCTCCTACTCCTCACAAAACAACATGGAATTCATAAAGAAACCTTTGCCTTAAACTGTGCTTGCAGGGAAGCATAGCTGCCAGAGGTGAGTTCTCATTTCCTTTTTAAAGATACTCTGTTTAAAAAAAAATTGCTGTGTACTAGTTCGTCCCCTTAAATTTTAATGGGAGGAAGGTGACAGAAAGCAATCTGAACAGTAACTGCCTGCAGTCAAGAAAAACGCCCTGAACATGTTTTCACCCCAATCATCTGGAGCAAAAGCTTTACTTCTAACAGAGCTGGTTTTTGTATTTTAATCATCTGTTCTCTCCTAAGGAAGGAAGATGCCAGAATGCAGGTTGCTATTTCAAAAACCACAAGGTTTTAAATAGGTACTACATTTAAATTAGGACCTTTAAAGGCTCCTCCATCTTTTATTGAAATAATGAAGTATGAGCAAAGCTAAAATTATCCTAAGGGAAGGAAGAAATTTTCACATGGATACAAATGCTTGAAAAGAACAAGTGTAGTTTTGCATAACCAGTGACTGACAAACAGTGTGGGCACCGAGTATGAACTCTGATACTGCCTTTCTAGTTCACGGTGTGTTTTGTGTCAAAACCAGGAACACTCACTTGGTGATATTAACGGTGATTGCAGACTTATTTTCAAATATGCCTTCGTCTAACTGCCAAATCACAGAAAATTTTGCCTGTTTTGAGGGAAGAGAAAGACACGACAAAACATCAATTACACTGTAAATACTCTTTAACTTACCAGGGTACCCTTAAAACGATGGTAATGTATTTACTGCTCATCATTCCCTTTTAGAGAAATTAGACATTGAGTCAAGTGCAAGAATATGAAAATTACGTCTTCCCTTGAGAAAACACACACCAGCCAAAAGCCAAACTGGGAAGAGTGGCAGCTCCGGCCTGATTGTAGAGCTAGAGGATGCAGCAGCAGCTAACTGAAGGTGTCATTTAGAGGTAGGGAAAAGGTGGAAATAATGAGCTCTACTTACAGTTGTCTTCTTGAATACTGGGTGCCCAATTCTGCAGTTACAGGATGAGACTACAGAAGTTAATGGTATTGGTTGGCCACAGTGAATAGCAGGAGAGGATGGCTGCCAACAGAACAGGAGTGCTCTTTAATGTCGAATGAAAACAGACTGGGAAATTCAACTCAGTCTGCCTCTGCTCTCATAAAACAAATTAGGTACAAATTGCCCAATAAAAGCTTGGGAGCTAATCAGATAAAGCCAGTATTCAGGCTCTAGTCGTAACAGTTTAAGTGCTTTTCTGCACCTTACTTCAAGATTTATTTAGGTACTAAATTACTAGGAGCCTGTGCTGGATTTTCTTTCGGCAGTGCTGCTAGCTGAAGCGTTGTTCTACAATCGTACCTCAACAGTCACCTTCTTAAAACGTAGGTTTTTAGGATAGTTCAAGACCATGGTTGTCATGGACGAGTCATCTCCGCTGTTCGTTAGTGAAACTCTCATGATCACTTCTTTAGTGTGGCCCACCACTATTTCCTTTCTAGAAGCAGACAGAAAAATATGGGTGACGTGTGATTTCTAGGGGTTGTTATTTAATAAGAGGTCTGAAGCCTCCTGATTTTGGTAATTACTCCCTTCAAAAGCTTTCACACACAGGATAATGCAATAGCCCGATTGTTTTTTCAATATTCTTCAGGGGTGTAAGAAAATGCTCCCTTAATATTGGAGGCAGTCATCTCTGAACTTTATGCAACATTTTATCCTCTACGGTTTTACATCAAGACAGACTTTAAACATTGTCCCACTTGATTCACTTTCCAGTGAATCTCCAGGGTAAAGTTTTACAAAGAGGAGATGTCTGCTGTTTTGTCTAAGGCTGTGTGAACTGAGCAACTCTGCTGCACATCAGCCTGAAGCAAAATCACCTGTTCAGAGTTAAATGCTAGTTGTTTAAACCTTGATCTTTCCTCTGAGATTTCCCAGAGCAGCCCAGCAACACCCGTGGACGCGTACAGGTACAGCCTTGTATGAATGTCATGCTGTGGAAAGGATGTATTGGCCAGAATGTCATATAAACAAAGGGGCAGCAAATCCTGTCAGAGACTTTGAAGAAAACGGCTTACGCACAGAGATTACATTTTAGTTGAATGCTAAATGCAAAATCGGGACAATAGCAGTACTGTGACTCACTGAATCTGACTTGTCAAAGTCAAATGAGCAGTACAGATGGTCTTGTTGCAGTTCTTGTACGGCAACTGAAAGCAAACACAGATCAAGTCAGATTGTAACCATTCTAATTTTTCTAAGGTGGCAGTTTCAGAATATTTTTACGTATACACATACATTCTCTGAAAACCAAAGTTCCCATGACCTCAGTTAAGGAGAAGCTGGAAATACAAGACCCTCTAGCGATCAGTCAGTCCTAAATTGATGTTGTTTTGTAATTCGACTCCCAGGAGAAGCAATAACATCTTCAATGGGGACAAGGTCTTGTGAAAGAAATGCCTGTTGTTTACCCCTGAATTACCACAGGGCAACACATGTCACTTTCTTTTCCAAAGACAATATGGGGTTTTTGATTAAATATACTCATATGCTGTAGGGACACTGTTTTGTAGAGACAAAGTTACTTCCTTTAGCAAGGAAGTATTTATTCACCAATAAAAATCTACTCTGTAGCTGATGTTTCTGGAGAAGTTTGATGATAATTAATAATTAGATGTTGGGTTCATAAGTACTAAGCAATGCTGACCAACAACAATCTCATGAATTATTCTTAGGAAATAAATGTACCATCAGTATCATAACCCCTAAGAGTACTGCAATTGTGGTAATTAGCATCCATTATTGCTCAGTGCCAAATGTTGCCCTAATTTCTCTGTCCTATGCTTTATGGACAGCTAATTCAATATTGAATTGAGGTAAAGGCTCCTCTTAAGCAATAATTTACAGAGCCTTCTGGAATCTTTTTCAGAAGCTGTGATTTAGATTTCAGATCAGTATGTAGGAATCCTGCTACAAAACTGCAAGAGAGGAGACTGGACATCACACTTAATCTTTAGGTTTATTCAAAGTTTACAGCCTCCCAGATATTGATTGGAAACAAACAGCTAAAACTAAAAAAACCCAATACATATGTAATTTTAATGACACACAAACCCTCTGCCTTCTTCACAGGTAGCATCTGATCTCATTTTATACAGAGGCACAGGAGAAACGTTGTGGTCAAAAGTAAAGCAATTTTTTAGCAGATCTGAGGTCGGACCTCAGAGATGAGATTCTCCTAACAAGATACAAGGGTCTGTTTGGGGAAAACCTGGGCCTAAAGTCTACCTAGAATCGAGTATTGTAACTTGGACGGGAGGGCAGAAGACAATGTGCAAAGTCTAGAAACCCACATTTTTTATTTTCTGTTTTTAGTAAAAGCTTTGCATCCTTGAAAGAGAGAAAGCTCTTTGGTAGTGCTGCATTTCGTTACCTGAAAATATGTTTCTGATGGCTGGTCTCTGTCCAGCACGGGAACAGCAAACTCCGTGTTAGAATTTTTCTCATAGAGCTTGTGTTTAACTCTCAGAAAAACACTGGAAAAACAGTCAAGATCACATGGCTGCAAGAAAGGAAGGACAGTAAATGAGAAAATATCTGGGCATTAAAATGCAAAAGTCTTCACACATGTTATCTCTGTTCCAGCTTCTATCATCTGGCATATTTAGGGACATTTTATTTCAGACGTTTTCTTTGGGTCACTGTGTTTAATAGCCATCAGTGGAGCATAAGCTTCTCAGGTGGCTTTTTAAATCATTTTATACATTTGGCTCCCATTACATCCTCTGGATAACAAGTTCAGTGATTCAGTTACGCATTGTGAAACCATTTCCTTATGTTTGCTTTAATCCTGTAGAGCTTCATGCCTTTCCTACGATTTTATGATTAGAAATACTTTACACGTTGACACAAAAGGGTGAGAGTTTGATTTATAGCAACACAAACCAAAACCGGCAAATGACATCTCCTGCCTCAGCTGCAAAACACACTCAGCCAGTCTATACTGGGGTGGACTTTTCTCAGGGTTAGTATTTTTGTGTTTCAATAAAGACTCATCATCGTGCAGATTTTGTTTAAAAAAATCCTGTCCTCTCAACCCTTCTGTAGTAAGTGAGCAACGTCACCTACCAGCGCATAAAGCTGCAGCTCGGAGCACACACGCGTGCTCACCGACAGCTTTCCGCTCCTCGTGGTGTTCTGATCTTCAAACTGTACCCTCGTCTTCGGCATTTTCACATCTAAGTCCACCGTGTAGAGAACATATGACTGTGAAAACACTGCAGGATATTCAGAATGCTTTGTTAGATGTACCAGAAATTATCCTCAGTACCAAGTTTCCAAGGGCAGGTAGGACTGTAGATTCTTATTTGGTACCTTGTTGAGGCACTGGTAAAGCTGAGATTGTATCGAAACACAGTTTTGCTGTAACAATGCTGTGATTTTGGAAAACTGGGATTCTCTCAGGATTGAATCTCATGCTGGTGAGCACGCGGACAACTGGTCTCGAGCTAGTCAATAAAGAACAGATAAGGAATAAAATCAAACATTTTTGAACCGAAACATTATGGGAAAAATGTTTTAAGAAAGCCTGGCAGCAAGAACAAGAACTGCTCAGTATTTCCATGGTATTTCACCTGGACCAGGCTGGCCTATTTACAGAAGTTCCAGCTTCTGCTGGGAATGTTCAGAACACAAAAAATCCCAAGAGTCTGAAGGAACAGACAGCCAAAATACACCAAGATGGCTGGAGTTTCAGAATTAAACATGGTGTTTATGTTTCCATTAGATAAACACATTATCTAGCAGTTCAAATTCTTTATCTGTGATTTGTTTTCAGGCACAAAATGCAAGAACAAAATCAATTCTTTCTGCCATGTGAACCGCATGGATCACTCAATTACCAGATGTCTGACTGAAAATGAGGTACAGTATGTAAAGAATTTGTTGGGAGTTTTTTTCTCTAAATGACCTATATTATTAGTGCTGAATTACAGACATCGCAGTCTTCTTAAACCTAGATCTATGTTAGTCACTTCATATACACTATCTCATATTGTTCAAAGCTTTAGACGCAAACATAGAAGCCTTTGCAACTAAAGGCTTTACATTTTAAATCATTTCTAGCACTGGGAAAAGTTGTTGTTGTTTTTTTTTAATGTCCCTTTGACGCTGAACTAAAAGTAGAATCATTACACAGTGCTTGGAACACAGATTCTATATTTGTCTTGGAAGCATTTCCCCAGCACTTATTACCTACCGGAGCACAATCACGTTCTCCAGAGCTCCCACTGTAATATCTTGGAGACCATCATTAGTGAAATCAAAGCCACCATCAATGGATTGTCCAAAATACTGGAGGCCTGAAGAAATTTCAGAGGCTTTTATTCTCTAAAAGGGGGGGAAAACATCAACAAATACAGGTCAGGATCTCTCTTCTGCCCTTGGGAAAATATACTTCTTTTCACAAGGCTGCTGTTAATTTTTTAACACTCCTGAGGTGCAGAATACTGACTCTCAATGCCCTGTAATGGTCAGGCAGGCTTACACAAGGCTGTGCTGTTCTACAGGCAGCACCAAACTCAGCTCCTCTGCCTAAGCAGGCAGGTGAACAATTGCAGTTAGTGAGCAGCTCTGCTGCAGGAACCTGTCTGTGGTGTCACATGAGAACCACCTGACATCTCAAATTTCTCACCCATCAATGCAAATGAAATATGGAAATTCTTCCTCCCAGCCCGCTGCTACAAAACCACACGTTTTCCCTCTCAAGGTGTACTGGAGCCAGTTCCCAACAAGACACATACTTGAGAAAAAGAGCTCTCGATCTTGTCCTTATCACCATTAAAGATGTAAATGCTGCCAAAAGAGGAACTGTTTGAAAGCTGATCTTCGAGGGGGGCTCCAACTGCAATATCCTCGTATCCATCCCCATTGATGTCTCCAATGCTGGACACACTGAACCCAAATCTTGCAAAAGGAGAGGTCACTTGCGCCTTTAAGTGTTCTTTAAAAGTGAACGAACCAGTCTGCAAAACACCCAAGAAGGAAATTAATTTGTAACAAATGTAGCGCGAGTAGCACTTTCATTTAAAAAAAATAATAACCTTGCTGCACACTTAAAGTTCTTACAGGTGAAAAAAGCCCTAAGCTCTTTAATAATTATATCAAGTTATCAGCTGACTCTCGGAACAAAAGCTTGATCCTTTTGCATTGAGAGCATGCAAACGCTCGCACAGAAGCCCTGAGCAAGCGGACACGCTGACGCGCTGTCTGAAATCAACAGCAGGTTGAGTTAGGTTGAGTCCCCATCCCTGGAGGTGTTTAAGGGTCGTTTAGGTGTGGTGTTGGGGCAGACGGTTTAGCGGTGAACTTCGTAGAGTAGGGTTGATCGTTGGATTCAATGAACCCAAGGGTCTCTTCCAGCCTGACTGATTCTATGATTCTAATCCCCAGTTTGTTTTGCTTCAGAAACCATCAACCCATTCCATCTTCTCCATCTTACTACAGAAATAAGCCACAAGAGGGTGCATTTGCATTCTAACCCATGCCTGGACTGTATTTTTCTCCTTCGAGCCATCCTGTAGGTGCCCTGAGCAAATGTCAGCAGTGCAAAGAGGCTTTTCTCCCGGTCTGCTGTTAAAGTTCACTTCTCATTCAAAATTATCTTATGTCCTGTATATTCTGTATGTCGTGTAACGGATCCTGTAGCTAGGCCCAGAAAACATTGTGTTTTCTACACGTTCTGGCGAGCAAAGTTTTAGCAGCTCCCCACACATCCATTTATTCAAGTATTGCAAAGAACACTCCTTGGTCTGCACCAACAAATTGCCTATGTACAGGCAAAAGACGTGATTTTATCACACTGAGATAAAAGGACCCTTTAGGCCCAGAATGGTTTTATTTCTTTAGTTATTTCTCTTTATATTCTGATGACTAAGACAGGACCGCTGGCTTCTACCATACAGGGAGAGCACACTCAGTGAGAGCACAAAGGAGGAATGCTTTAGTTGTCACTACTTAGGCATGGCTGGAAAATCCCCAACATGGAGTGTTTACGCTAACAGTGTTTTTACCTCTGTCTCCAGGCGATAGACGTAAACCCTTCCTTCTTCCCCTCGAATGTGATAAAACGGAGCTCCAACCAGGAGAAGATCTGTCACCCCATCGTGGTTCACATCAAGCGGGCAGAGCTCAGATCCAAAATAAGATCCAACCTGCGCTCCAGAAAAAGACAAGCAGCTCTTTCGCTGGAATTCTCTATATATAGCTTTGTAGAATTAGTGTCCTTTGCAGCAGTAAGGCAATTTTTAGAACAAAACATCACATATCTACTTATACGTGGATCATTTATTTATTTTATTACAGCCATCCTCAGGGACAGATCCTGTAACCAGTTTAGCAGTAACAATCATTATTCAACAATCTGACAGAGAAAAAAGAATACCACAGCTGACGACCTCTTTCCCCACGAACTATGGGAACAGAACACAAATATAGTACGCCCCACTTAGCTAAGTTTTTTCCCAGTCTTTTTCCAAATTTCATGATTTCTTCTGATGTTCCCAAAGCAGTGTGGAGTGAACAAAGACTGTGTAATCCACACCTGGCTAAATCAGTGTACGGGTACAAGTGTGTCCAGAGGAGAAAACGCAGCTGTGTTTTGAGCAAATGGGACGCTCACAGCCCACCTGACGCCCTCCCGAGGAGCCAAGCCCAGTACCTGTTCTCCTTGCAGCGTTTGCTTTAAGCGGCCATCCTGAAACACCAGCACCTTCCCTGTCATGCTGTGCCGTGGAGCTCCAGCCACGTACAACGGTCCGTGTTCCGCGTATGCCACTGCCACGCTGTACCCTGGTGCATTCACACACAAAGAAAAATACAGTCAGTGTATTTGTCAGTGCCGGATACGGCTGAAGGAATAACTCACTGAGCTTGGCCTGAGACACAGACCCACGTATGCAATCGGATCCAGGAGTTCACACCATGTCTAGTTGTTGTGGCTTTGATTACAGGGTATATCTCATTAAAACATCAACTAGGAAATAGCAGGTAACTTGTCTGAGAGAAAGGCCAGCTGAGCTGAGGTTTTCCTCTCCTAGCAGCTTGTAGGGTAACTGAATAAATTACTGCTCTGAAAAATATGCTTGAACTCTTGATAACATTTATCACAGTTCAGGTTTTTAATTCTTATGCCTGCAAGCTGCAAGTTTATCGCCCCTCACAGAAGGGAAGAAAACCCTATACTGTGTACTGAAAGCAAAAAGAGATCTGTGATGGATCTTCTGCTAACACAGAGGTAACGGGGTAATGATCCTCCTGACACAAATGGGCCACAGCTCCTCACAGAACCGGGTGAGATTTTGTGGCCAAGGCTACAGTCGGGAGACACAGGGCTCCTGGGGCTACAAAGCACTAGGGTGAACAAGCAAGGCTTCATTTGTCACTGAGGCAAGAACCGTGTTGATTCACAAGCTATTACTACTTCGCACACTCATAACAAGTGAAATATTTCTCCTTATCTACTCCCCAAAATGCCCTTTGCTGCAAGTATCCTTACACAGTGAAACCAAATGCCATGTGTTAACAGAACAACACCACAAGGCACCATAACTCACAGGAGAAAACAAGTCGTATATTCCCCCATATAAGGAGGCAGAGCGGGTTTTCCCCAGAATGTCTTTCCCTGCTAGAGAAAATACCCAAATTCTAGTAAAATGCTGCAGGAGGTGGCCTTCTTCAGGCAAACGCAGTCAGTGTTGTCCGACTGCACTACACACAAACTACGCAAACCGCAGTCAGGTTGTCGTTTGATCTCAGAGGCGAGTGAGCAGATTACCTAGATAACTGTATTGTGCTTTTTCGGCTGCTTCTTTAGATTCATTCAGGAAAACAGCGGTCTTGGTTGCCAGATCATACAGCAGAATTCCACCAGACCAGTCGAAGGCCCCCACAGCACCAAACATTAAGACTTGCTGCAGAAGTAACAAATTTAGACGGGATTAGAAGAGACGAACACAGGGCAATCGCCTCCAGTGCCCTGCAAAGCAGTTTAGTGAGGAGCAATGTTTCCTGGCTTGCAGCTTCTGCACTCTTTTCCTAGACCTTGTCGCTTGGGCAGTTTTTCCAGCTCCTGCCACACATTGAGGAAAGACAAGACGAGTCCCCAGCACCAGAGAAGCAGCTGCACATCTCCCAGATCACTACATTAAATTTTTTTTGAGGGGGGGAAAAAAAAGAAAAAAGAAAAAAAGAAAAAGCCAGTGTTTTCCTTGCAGCCAAGGCTGAGGAATGTTCATTAGCTTCCTCAGCATCCGCTTCCAACACGGACAGAGATCATTCTTGCCCTAAATGGACCAAGGTTTTAAGCCAGAGGATTCCAAAAAGAGTATCGAAGCAGCAGCACAGCCTACAACCATTGAGCAGAGTTAAATGCAGAAAATTTACCTTATCCAAGACCTGCACATTGAAACCAGCTTGTGCAAGCTCATATTGCAGAGCATCACCCTGCAAACCTGAGGATGCAATAGAAACAGGGTAAGCTACTTTCTCCTTATTTCTCAAAGGAACTAAAGAAATAGAAAGGTTGCTATTTACCTTCTATACCAATAATACTCTGCTGCAGGGTTGAAAGCAGCCCTTCTAATGCTGAATAATTGGTCACCTGAAACACGTTAGTGTCATCTGGACCAGATGCAATTAGCCGCAACTCCTTTAGGGCCTTCGGTTTTTTGAAGGCATCTCCCACCTGCAGAAGAGATGCAAATCAGTCAAAAGAAGCAGCCTTTCGAGTCATCTTATCCCACCTACTTAATTCAACATTTTATTTCCCAGAATAACCCGGATAAGGAAACATAAATCACACTTTGTGGAGCTAGACTTGACTAAGACTAAGATTCAGTGGGTTTAGAAAGATTTTTCCAAACTTTGCACAAGGAAGAACGAGATGGTCTGATCTGAAAGCATGGCTCTGTTCCGAAAAGCCTGTAAGTGGATACAGGGTGCTGAACGTGCCGGGTGTGGGAAGGAACAACCGTGGGCACAGAGTTGACGCTACAGAGATTACAGCAGCAGTTCATGCCGTAGCCGCATCTTTCACTTCCTTATTTTATGCATGCCTCGTCCCTTATTTACTGGAACCATACATGGATCAGTTTCTCCTTTTCGCTGCCCCCCCTGCCACCAAGAAATGGAAGGAAGATACGATCCAAGTACATTCCCAACCTACCCCAATGGCGTAGCGCTCGATTCCTGCCATTTGGGGTGAATTTATCACTGTTGTCAAGTTCATTTCATCCAGGAGTATCTCCCCGTCTGTAAGTACAATCATGACCTTGGCTGCATCCTTGCGGGACCCGTGACTTTCAGTGAAGATAGAATCCCTGGTAATACATTAAAAAAAAAGGAATTTGGGATGAAAGTTGAAGCTTCCCTCCTTAGGATAGAAGGAAGAGCCTTGCTGAATTATGCACTTGCAACTAAAAGTCACAGCAAGGTGGCAAGAGAATCTCTTTCTTATTCCCACATTATGAAAATTCCAGGTACCGTCTCACTTTCCTGAGGGTCCCCACAGCAAGAATTAGGTACAGACAGATGACTTTTATAACTTTTACAATGTGGCACAGGAACTGCTGCCTGCCATGCAACCATTGCCAGCCAAATAGCTGCTTTCAGGACCTGAATGGCCGTAGACATCCCTCTCCCTTAGTCATTAAATGCCCCAGAAATTCATCCCCTTCGTTTCTTGTGCTCTTTACTTTGTTACTTACAGGACATGCTGCATGGCAGATGCTGTTTTTGTCACATTGCACACCTGCACAATGTCGAGTACTTTCTGGAGGGTGGCACGAGGATCCCAGTTTTCTCGCAGGTCAAATTCAGTTCTGATTTCAAACCCGTACTGAACCACGGCAAAATTGCACTGGAAGGATAAGCACCTGCTTGTGACAACTGTTGATTCAGGGGAGGAGGGTTCTCTGCAACAACTAGCCCAGAAATCCCAACAGAAACATTAGCCAGGCTATTCAGAAAGGAAGATCTTTGTTTTCAGGAGAAAGGGGATTTTCCATATGTCCAGTGCAGACATGGAGATTGTGGTACGTACATTACAGCTGAGGAAAATGAAAGCACTATCAGTACGCAGAGAAAAAATTGGGGGGCAAACACTGATTTGGTTTTAAGCCCTTGCATTTTGCTGCTGTGTTTGGTTGCAGAGGGGATTATCTGTGATATTAATGAATTATTCCTTCATTACTCCCTGTTGCATATTAGAGTACTCCTATTCCATGACGATCTGATTATCAAAGACAGTCTGGAGAGTGGGACCGTTTGCACAACACATAAGGTTTTTGCCTTCCACTATGCGAATAATTTAAAATATGCTGAGACTTGGAGCATTTGAGAGCTAGAGACTTTCCTAAACTCGGTGTGTGGCTCACACTTTGCAGCCTCAGCGGAGAAAGAGCAGAGCACCTTCACACACAGTACGTGGCTGGAGCTAACGAGACTGGCAAGGTGGCTGGCTGAAGAGGCAGATAATTGGCACCTCTGTGATTGCGGGTACAGGTGTAACAAAATGGGAATAGAGACAGGAAACCAGAAGAAAGTCATGACTGTTGTCCTGCAAGAAAGCCGAGGCGGGTGCTCACTGGACTTCACGAATGGCAGCGTAGCAGAGCTAAGGAATTCAGAGCACATGAATCAGATTTTTTACAGTGTTCTTGGGATCAAGACTAGGAACGCATTGCTAAATGCAAGAACACATGCAAGTTGTGGAAGTACTTTTCTATCCTGAAACAACTTGCACAGTCCCAAATTCTGGTGAAGAAGCAGCTTACATAAAGCACAGCACGCTCTCTGGCCTGCTAAAGAAGGAGAGTAGAGAGTACCTCAAAGCACTTCTCATACAGTGTTTTCATCATCTTGTGGATGAATGCTTTTGCTCTTTCAAAATCCTCTGGCTCAATGCTCCCTGATCCATCCAGAATAAAAGCAATCTCTCTTCCAGAAGCTGCCCAGAATATGAAAAGTAACAGAACGAGGAGAAGGCAGTCAGCAGTCTTGGTCAAGACCAAGTCCTTTATCCAGTGTTATCAATCAGTGCACAAGTAATCTCACTCGAACAAGCAACCTGAGCCACCCCAATACTGCTCAGCTGTCATTTCAGCCCAAGCTACAGGTCAGGTCTGGCAGCTCAGACACAGCAGGTTCCCAGACTTTGTCAGTCCATGACCGTCCATGCCATGATTTTTTTAAAAGATACTTCACCACATACGCAAGTGATTTTCCTCCTCCTCCTCTTGGTCCTCGTCCATCCAGGAAGGGAGCTTGCTGTCACCATGGTCATTAGTTTTTCTGTGCTCTGGTGTTTCACTTGGAATATTTTCAGCTGAAAGAGGAAACAACCTGCTGACGTGGTCTACGCTGTAATGGCAGGTTTGATTTTTAAAGAAACTGTAATGATTGTTGAATTTTACCATTACAAATAACCTTCAAAACCTCAACAGTTCTCGCTCCCAGCTCTCTCCCACCAGACGAACGCTTCAAGCTCAGCTGCTAATGCAGAAGGAAGCAATGCTTGCTCCTGTCCGCTACTCACCTCTGCACACGTGGTTGTTGCCTGGGCTGTCAAAGAGCTCACCACAAGCACTGCTGGTGTTCACAATCTCATCTTTGCTGGTTTTACTTTGAATGCCATTTAATTTGGTCTCAACTAAAGAGTTTAAAAAGCAAGGAAAAAATACACTTTACCTTTTGAAAATACTCTTCCAATTAACACACCTTAAACTTAGGATCTCTTTTCACCCAGGTTCACAAATTTGCAGAAAACCTGAGGATCAGACTGTTAGCAGCAGTTGCACAACTGAAGGTGGAACAATACCATCTAGGTGTCTAATTTAAACTGGTGTCTAATTTAAACTGGTCAGCTTCTTTGCAGTGACAGCAAGAGGCAGAGCAAGGCTAGACAATCAGACCCACTCTATACTCCTTGATTAAGTACCCAATATCCCAGTTTAGTTGGAAGGAGCAGCCTTAAGTGCCCAAACACTTCTAAAAATCCCAGTGGATGTCTGTCACACCCATCCACTAAGAATGTTGATGCTTTTATAAATCCTGCCCTAAGAGCTGGATCTTTTGGATGCATGGGATGCCACAACAGAAAATCCCTGCTGCTGCCTGCTAATCTCCAAGGCTGAACCCTGTGACCCCGCTGAAGTCACTGTAATGCATGTTAAAATTCAGCTCTAAGTCTCTCCTGGGAGAAAAAAAGACCTCGCTGGTTAGAACTCAGAAGGTCCCTGCTGTTAGAGCAGAGCCTCGTGCTGTTATTTCTGTCCCTCCGCAAAGGCAGCGCTGGCTTTGCTCCTGTACCCATCTTGGTGAGGTTGAGGAACGCCGAGCTGCGCAAGTCGGAGGTGAGCAGAGTACAGACTCCGTTCAGGTCCTCAGTAGCAGAGAAGGCTCGGCGGTGCTTCTTCTGCAGGCAGGCCTGTGGGGGTGGCAGGGAAGGCTAATGAATGATGAGCAAAATCTTTGGCAGAGAATGACTGAAGACGCCATCCGGCAAAGATTCAGCATCCCCTGCACGGCACCGAAAGTGAGAGTCAAAATGCACCTTTCCTGATGCAACTCCTGACACATCAGGTCACCCAGAGCTCCAGCCCGGAGCAGAGGCAAGAAGTGGGGCTGGGTGGCTCACCAGACCAAGGTGTTAGCCCCCAGATTGGTGGTTCTCCTAAGCCTCCTCTGCCCATCCTCCCTTTTCCTATGAGTGGAGGAGGGTGCAGTGACGTGCAGGGTCCACTGCAGCCCCCGGTGATGAGAAGGGCCCTTCTCAGTTTTCCCTCCTGGCTGGCAATGCCCCAGCTGGCTTCCCAACCAGCCAGTATCCAGCCAAGAGCTTTTAGCCTTCATCCTTCTGTTATGTCTGCTCATATGCATTTCCCAGCAAAAATACACAGCATTTAGAAAAACTACAGTCATTCCCAGGCACGGATATTTTCAGTCCCTTACCAGGATCCAATCTGAATTCCTGTCAACAGCTATGCCACCATCCTGGATGTTTTCGGAGCCTTTTATCTTTCCTGAAATTGAATGAATGATTGAATGAATGAAGACCAGCACTGCAATGGGTACTGTGCTTGTCAGCCTTGGGCAAACAGAATAAACAGAGAGAAAAGCTACAACTGCTAAGGTCACCTATATCTGCGCTACAGGGAGGACTCAGAGTTAATGTTATCAGCAACTGTAGCAGTAATGAATATGGAAACAAAATGAAATGAATATTGGAAACAAAATGGAACAAATATTGGAAACAAAAAGGAATGAGTATTGGAAACAAAAAACTTTGCCTTGTATTTCAACAGAGTTTAGATGAAGACTTAAGGCAGAAGAGGTCTAGCAGCCTCCAGCTATATTACTCCCAAACACTGGGACCGCGGGGTTGCATTTCCATCTAAGAAACGTCCATCTGTGGGACCCAGCAGCATGCCCAGTTCTCTCCAGAACACGCAGCTTCTGTGCCCCCGCGGCAAAGCAAGTGTTGGGAACGGGAAGTAGGACCATACCTCGCAGAGCTATCTCCTGGCACTGGATCTCCTCCTGCAAAACAGTGCACTTCCTCAGCCTGCCCAGCCCCTTGTCTACTGAGGAAGTAGCCAGAATCCTGTAGAATGAGAAAAGAAGGTGGAAAAGAGGGAAAGTGGCACAAGTGGGCACAGTCCTTTGGCAGTAATATCCAAGACAATCATCTGTGTCCCAGCGTGGCCATCCATTATTCTGAAAATGTCTCTTAATTAACTGGACTCCAGTGTGGTTTTGAGCCAAATCAGCCACTAAGAGGAAAAAAACTTATTTTCTCCTACAAATCATCATCTCCTTATCCCATGAATTCAGGAGAGCTACCCCAGACCAAGAAAGAGGTCTGGAAGTGACTCACTCATAAAACACTGGAGATAAAGGGTGGCCAGAGGTGCAGCAGTAAAGTCCAACCACCATACTAGGAAATGGCAGCACTGCTGCGTGAAATGGAGACAGTTCTTTGAGCCAGCCAATTTCTGCTCAGAGGGTAGAAGTTTCTTTACTCCAAAACTGTCTGCTACACGGCCTGAACAATCTGCTCAGCATAATATAGGTTATCTCTATAGCAACCACTTGTGGTTGGCTTCTGGTCACCAGCCTCGCCATCTATTTCTCTTCCCCTACAGACCCAATAGTCAAAATACAGCAGCTTCCAACTCTTCATGGTCTTCAGATCAAGCTCACAACATAACTCTAGACAGCTGGTGGGTGCTGTGACTGCCGCAGCCCCAGAAATGCTGCAGTACCCCAGGAAGTACTGCAAAAACCCAGCCGCTTGTTTCCGCCGTTTGGTTAAACCAGCAGACGTCCGTTCTGTACGGTGCCACAACTCAGCGGTGGGTGAGGGGAAAAGCATCACGACGACCGACGAGCTGACAATGTGCACCTCACGCCAGTGAAGCTCCAACACCCCTCATCAGCCCCTGAGAACTGAAGAACAATTCTGGGTGCCAGGCAGAGGAGGCTGTGCTAACAGCTGCAGAAAGTGAGAAGCTACAGGACCTCAGGCGCACGCAGGGAAGCCTGGCTACGTTTTTCTTTCTTCTGTTCCTTACATGGTTGTGTTCCCATCCGAGTGCTGAAGAACCGTGGGCCACAACAAAGAGGCTGCGTGCGGCGTGATCCACGTCTTGCCAGTGTCAACATTAAAGCTCCACAAGGACTTGACCACTGAAAACAAATAAATAAATGAGCGAACACTGTGATCTGCAGAGTCCAAGTGAACGGGCTCTTGAGTCAGCCAGCCCTGAACCCTGCCCACCACGACAGCAAAGGCACTCAGCTGGAGGCAGAGCTCAGGCAAAGCATTTTCTGGACCAGCCTAACAAAAAAAGAAAGTAACACAAGGCCTGTTGTTCTGTTGTCAAAGTCCATCTCGGATATAACAAAACATTCCTAGTAGCTCAAGCTCACAAGCCTACATTTAAGCAGGAGAAGAAACAAAACTCCAGGGCTCGTGCAAGTGCTGTGTCACTTCAGGGTGTCACCAGCGGATTCACTCCTTGCAAAGCTGCTAGAACCCAGGTTTTGTGGGATGCTAACAAAAAGCCTGAGGCTTGGCAGTAACGGAGCGAATTCGTGCCAGATGTGATGGATACTCTGCTGAGGTTACAGCTCTGCTTAGAAGTCAAATAACTCCTCAAATAGATATAAAACAGCCATCAAAAAAAGAGAAAAACTTCTACCCGTTATTCACAAAGCTGTAACTCAAGTGGCATCCTAAAGATAACTTTTTTTTCCATGAATGCACTTCCTTCTTGCAAGGCAGCCCACAAGAAAAGGGGCTGATATGGGTGTAAGACTCTGGCAAGCCAACCTTTATTGCTGTTCACACCTCAGCTCTTGATTTGTGTAAGTGTGTTAGCACCTCAGTAAATGCACAGGCTGGGAAGATAAATATACTTGAATCTAAGTGACAGACTGAAAATGTCACAAAGTAGGGTGCTTGGAAGGCAAGCTACTAGGATAAATGCAGCGAATCAAGCCCTGAGCTGTCTCACCAAACCACACAACAAATTTGAAATCTGATCACAGACTCTGTCCTTGTTTGAACGAAAGTAAAAAACCTGAATTTTCGTGCTTACACCTAGCACAGTGACAAACACAAGAACAAACATATTAGCAGAAATGATACGTCATCATGCAATATGTAGAAGTCAAACGCAAATAAGGAAAAAAACCAGTAGAGCATAAATCTTGACGTTAAATTTAAAACTACAGCAAAGCAAGCTACAGAGAATTTTGGTGAGCATCTCACTGAAAGATTAAAATTAATAGCAATTTTTTCCCAAACACACTGGATGCGTAAAGTTTGGCAGGAAGAACGTGAGGATGATCAGGGTAAGAAATGAACGCCTAAAGGATAATGTTTTTTCCATGCAGATGGCGTAGGAATATACAGCATTGAGTCTTCTGAAAAGGGAGCAAGACAAACAGAAATTCCACCATACGGAATCAAACCAGCATTTATCTGTGGAGTGGCTGGAAGAGGGACCAGGATGAGCGTAAAGTTTGGCAGGAAGAACGTGAGGATGATCAGGGTAAGAAATGAACGCCTAAAGGATAATGTTTTTTCCATGCAGATGGCGTAGGAATATACAGCATTGAGTCTTCTGAAAAGGGAGCAAGACAAACAGAAATTCCACCATACGGAATCAAACCAGCATTTATCTGTGGAGTGGCTGGAAGAGGGACCAGGATGATCCCCAGTGCAGTTGCCCGCTGGCTGAGCTAATGGAGCCACAGCGTAGGGGTGTTACCCTTTCTGGGACACGCAGCTAAAGACTTCAGCTCATCCCAAGGTCGCCATTCATCTCCCAACCCCGTCAGGAGCCAAGGAGCTTTGAGCAAATCTCACAGGGCTCCCGGCAGGGTTAGGAGATGAATGCTGACCTTGCGGTGTCCAAGCTCATGGCAGAATTGTCCCCGCAACGCTGCACGACACAACAACAGGGATAAAGACTCTGGCTCAGGAAACGTTCCTTCTGATTCATACTTAGGCTTTGCTATACACAAACTTACTCCTAAGTAAAGATCTTCTGAATTTTCTTTTTTAAAAATCCTACATGTTTTAGAGCTCTTGTTAAGGAGATCAGCAAGCAAAAAAGTTGCAGGAAATATATTTCTGGAAGTACGTGCTGCTTAATCCAAGGTAGACCTAAAACCATGCTAGAAAAGAAAGAATACATAAAAAAAAAATCTCACCTATGTTCTATTCTTATCTACTGAACTAGGAGCAAACAGACAAACAAGTGAAAAACAAAAGGCCAAACATCACTTATCAGCTTTGTATTTGAGAGTGATTTCACCCAGCAGCCACTTTTCCTTCTCTAAGGACAAACTATAAATCTCTCTCCACCCAAACGTATGAATTTCTCTGAAATAGTAGAAAAACACATCACAAGCCAAGGACTTTCCGTACAAGTCCAGGCACTCCAAACTTTCTACATAAGAATCATTTTATCGGCTCACATTAAGGGTCTGAGCTGAGTCTCCAGAAATTACTTTATTGCCAGACTAAGATCTCTATGTTCTAATATAAGTAAAATAAATATAGAGATAAGACTCACTCATTAGTAAGAGCAGACACAGGAGCGATCGCATTGTCCCCAGCTTTAAGGTGCACGAAGCAGGAGGGCTGGGGATACCGGGCAAAAGCTGCTCTTTTGACGATTCTCACGTCTCCTGCCTGCTGAGAGAAAGCGGCTCTATTGTGCATTTCCTAACTGAGGTTTCAAGGCGTGTGCTAGTGACATTTGAATAGAACTGCAGATACGAAGACCTACCAAGCAGTAAACTTATGGTGCTGGAAGGTGATTTTTAGCGGTGTCTCTATTGCTGTCCATCAACACCTTTAGCATACTGAAAACCAGAGGATCTGTCCGGAGAAGCCCCTAGAGCCTGTGTTTCCCTGCCCACCTGGTACTCCGGTGCTCGCCACGTGGACGTGCTACATCCCATCGAAACGGGCAAACCGACGGACTTGAGTGAACTCACAGCAGTGACTTAAGAGAGATGTCAGCTCTCAGGCATCGCTCACAGTAAATTTTTCACGCAAGAGGTTTCCCCTCACATATGCACACAGAGCATTTGGTGTTCCCCTTTTATTTTGCGTATTATTGGTGACTGAAACCTCGAAGTTTTATGGCAGGATGCCCAGGGTACGTAAAGGGATTCTGCACATCTCTTTTCCTCTCTACCAACAATTCTTTGGTTTCTACTGATCCCTTGTTTCCCTGTACTGTTGACCTAATCTGGACCAGACTAGCACCGAATTACTCACAAATAACTCATGCTATCAGCATGAGTGTAGCAAGTATTATTTGGTTGCAGTGTGTTACTACAAGTGAGCTGAGACAGCAAATGCTGAGCAATCAGAAAAGTTAACTCTATAGCAAATCCTTTCGGAAGGGGGAATGGAAGTGGCACTCTGCATCTCACAACGGCAAACCAAAAAGAAAGATTATGTCAAAAGAGGGAGTGAAAACGCTCTTTGCACTCCAATTTTAGTAAGAGTTAGGTGCCAGCCACGACACAGCCGCAGCAACACCTTTCTGAGGTTTTGTCTGGTCCTGTCTGGCCCCACTTTTATTCATGCTGCTGAAGCAGATATGAGGGTGTAAAGTGAAAGAGTTTTGTTTTTAAAAGTCTCTTTTCATTTCTTCATTTCCATTTTTGTTTTAGTCCCAGAGCAACAACTGAAATTCTCTAAATACAGGAAAGAAGAACAAAACTGACAGCTAGCTGCAGGAACAGTCCAGCTGAGGAATTTGCAGCTGCACCACTTCAGAAATCGCTCTTTGAAGCTCATGGAGACTTACATAAAGCATCTGTTCTTTGTCCGAGCCTTTTCGCTTGTCACGTTTCAACGACTCCTTTTCCTAGTTACAGAGGCAACAGAAAGCATGCCTAGCTGCAAGTGGAATCACAAAGAGATGAAGAAAGAGAGAATCAAAGCACAGATACATACACCTCTCCATACTGCATTCAGCTTCAGAGCAAGATTTACCAAAAAAAAAAAAAAGAGAGAGAAAACCAACAATAAAATGTGCAAAGCATTTGAGGAACAAAAACTCTTGCTTCCCACCTATACCCGTAAGGCAAAAGGCCTGATGGGGAATTGGGAACCATGCAAACCAGACATGAAGTTTCTTTTAAGAAAATTACACAGATAATCTGTGACACAGACCAGTGTGCCCTGGGAAGCATCTGGAGCCCAGCAGAGAGGCCCCAGGGAGCAACGACCAAAGTGTACTCAGGTAGAAGAGTGTGAAGAAAGGTCAGCCTTCATCTCCCAACACTGCCAGGAGCCAAGCGGCTTCGACTGAATCACACATGGGAAGGTCTGAGCATCCATGACCCCACACAGAATGCAATGAGAGCTGCTGCTGCCTTTCCTTCGTGGCACGGCTGGACTCTCAGAGTGACCGTGGTTCACACATACAGAGGAGACAGAGAAGAGAAACCGCATTTTTTCCTTCACTGACATTTGTGAAAGGTTTCTGTTTTCTCAGATGAGAGCCCGGCCAAGCCTCCCCATTTACACAGGGGTGAGTTCACATGCAGGTGGATTTATCTGTCACAGGAGGTAGAAGGGAGAGGACACTTCATCTGTTGATAATTTCTTGTGTAAATGACTGAAGTGTTTCCTGACAAAACATTATGATCTGTTAAGAGTGGATCCCAAAATCCTGCTGGGCCTTCAAAGCTATGAATCAGCTTGTACATCCTTCCCCTTGCAAGGAACTGCAGGCATCCCACAAAATAAAGCCCAGACAGCTTTCCTGTTTTCAACGTGACCAAAATGGGAAGTGGTGGAGATAGCGAAACCAAAGAGGAACCTTGTGCATTAAGAATATGGAAAACTGGGAGGTTACTGAGAGTGATTTCCATCGTGCTGACTCACCTCTCTCTGCATAGAGGTTGTAACTACTCCACAATATCCTTTTTCCACTGTACAACAGCCTGGGCACTGCTAAATCTTCTGATCAATGTGAAATGTTTGCGGCATGCGCCTGTGCCCATCTGCTGTCCGTCATTCCTCATGCATGTGCTTGAGAGGGCTGAGAGGGGTGATCTGTGGCACGACTGTGAAGCACAAGGAATGCCATGGCTCCATTTCACAGCAGACACTAGATGTTTGAGAACGTTTTTGATGCAGATCACAAGATAAACTAAGCACAAGCTTAAGAAGGGAGTTTAAAGAGAAGCAGGTTTAAGGAATGGCTGAAGAGGCAGGTTATCCTGAAAGCAAGCAGTCCCAGCTCTCAAAAGCACTACCAATAAGCAAGGTTGCTCTTGTTCTTTATTGAGACTCCAAGCAGAGATGGCAGATTTTGCATTTCTTGAGAATCTCAAGTGTCCCCACAACAGCAAAGCAGCCAGCACAGCAATAGTTTACCATACGCCAGAGGATCCTTTCGTACAACGAGGACCTCGCCAAACGGTGGGAACACTTAGGACAAAGCCATAGATGGAAAAAGCAGCTGAAGGCTTCGCAAAGCAAGAAAATAGCAGAAGCTGGAGCAAGAAACATTTATTACAATTTGGAGACCTGATGCAGCGAAACTGCAAAGGGAAATGCTCAGCACAGGGGAAGAACTCATCTGAAGCAACAGGGACTAAGTTTTAAAAGCAATTTTGCTGCCAGTCACATATAGTAAGCAATAGGATTAAGATTGTCTCCAAAAATCCAAACCTTCTAGCTTCATTTGCTCAGAATAAAAAATGAGACCGAGTTCTTGAGATGCAGAGCATATCTTAGTGATGGAAAGGTGCTGCCAGCAGTTCTAGTCGGCAGCTTTTTCAGGGTTCTCACGAGCCGTGGCCTGTATGAAAGATGCAGCCAACGCAACATCAGCTGCTACGTTTTCAAATGTGACATAAGGTCATGAAAAACAAGAGTTAGCTTGCCTGGCAGCGAGGTCAGCACAGTGCTGGGTGAAATATAATCAGGAGTTGGGTAAGGCCTCATAATCCCCACTGATCACATCTTCCCTTCCTTTCTGAGAGAGGCTGAAGCTCTGAAAACATATCCAAGGATGGCTATTTTCATTTAAGTAAACTTGCTGTGTTGACAGTTTACAGAAATACTATGTTCCCATTTTCAAATACAGGCTGAGACATTTCATTTTTATCTCTTTTCCACATATTTTAACATACGCTTCCCATCCCGCCTGAGGCAGTGTGCACATTACAGAAAAGAGCAACGAGGCCCCTGCAATCGCTTACAGCAAGACAGGATGCCCACTAAGACCGAGAGGAAATGTCAACCACACGATGCACTTTGCCCTCTCTGTCTTTCAGAAGCCACATATGCAGCAGTCTGACGCTGTTTTCGGCAGACACCAGGCAACCCGTGAAAGACAGATGTTTCAGAAATTCACCACACGAAGTTACAGGTCCAGGAAGTGCACGTCATTTTGTGCTCTTAAGGAAACATGCACATCGTGCGAACAATTCCATTGTAATACTGTAAAATGGGAATAATGGGAATTGTGGTGGGGGCTAAACACCGAGCACTGCAGGTACTGACGCAAAGACTTGGCACAGCCCTTGATGACTGAAGAGTATTTGTCCCCTGACGTCGCACACCGACAGTGCTTTGCACAGAAGTCAACTCCATCCTTTGCAACTTTTTATGACTCTGCAACACTCTTTATTCCAAAGCACTTCAGCGCAGTCTCTTGTGACAAAAGACTAACAGCCAACCCATTCTTAGATATGTCGCTCCACGCTTCTCTATGGCAAACAGCATTATTTCTATACAGCTCAGAAAGCACTGCCTTCCCCACTGCCCCCAGGGATCTTGCTCTTGCACATTTAGATATAGTAATAAGAAAGTGTCAGGCAGAGAAAGTTGAGTAAAAACAGTTTCTTCAGAGGAAATTAATTAAAGTGCATGAAAATATTTAAAGCCACAGGCTGAATCACAGTCTTCAATGAAATGCACTTTAATACCAATAATGCCTTCAATTCTTCCAGCCCCTGTAAGAAGAACTACTCCTCTGAAGTTGGAAGCAAGGTTGGTTGCAATCCAGAAAACGTGCTAAAGATTTCTGGTTTGTCCCTCTAGAGGCATCATCTCAGTTGCCGATAGCTGTGGCTGCAACAGTGACTGCTCCTCTGACACAGCTGGTCTCAGTTTCTGTGGCATCTGTTTCCACGATCTTGTCTCTACAGCAGGAGACATAAGAACAGCAGCCCTCTGTCTAAAGGGACCCAGTTTTTAGAAGGATGAAGGTTTAGGGAAAAACGAACATACAACAGGTGGTATTTTAGGAGTTGCAACCTCCCCACTCCTAGAACACTGACATATAGGAAGAGCCTATGCTGGAAGAGCAGGAAGCCTTGTTTAAATCCAGTGAAGCTTCTGCCCAAACTCTGCCAGGCTGAATAAAATATTTTTAGAGAAAGTGACAGCTCTCCATTTTCTGCAGAGTTGCTTCCCAGGTGTAACATGGGAAGGAAACATAACTGTCTTAGGCAGAATTTGGCAAAGTTGTTGGTGTTAGTGCCCTGATTCGTGCTCTAAAAAGTCCTGTGATTTTAACACTTGCAGTATGAGCAGGCCTAAATTTTCCTTTTCCTAGAAAAAGCACCCTGAGTTCAGGCTGCTGAGCCAAAGGGAAGAACAGCCCTCGCTTTCCTCTGCAGTTTCCTGCCCATTTCTACCAGAAGTAGGAAAGGCTACTGCTTCCTTCTCATATTTGTTCCCAAACTCTGAGCAGGTCCATACCTGCTCTGATTCTTTACTTTCTCAGTTCACAAGTGATGCTGCTATTATCAAGGGATGCTGTGCAGAAGCAAATTCATGAGCAAGCCGGCCTGCCTGAGATGTCAGTTAACAAGGGCAGAATAACATGCCAAGAGTAGTTGCTGAGCAGGAAGCTAAAAGGATACTGAAGGCTTTTCTTCATGATTTCATTTACCTTCTGGATTTATTTCTGAGTCACTGGTAT